TAAATAAGTATAACTACCATGAAAAACTATTTTTTGACTTTTGGTACAATTTTTTTACAAATAATTATGGAATAATTGAATACAACCATAACTTATGTCACTGTAAGGCAGTTAACAAAGTTTACGATCTACATATTGTGCAAGAAACAAAATAATATTAAAACATATAATATTCGTATAGGTTATATTTTCTGACTGTGTATTCATTATTCTTTACACTGTTCATAAAAAAAAATTACACTAAGTCAAGTGTTCATCACAATGATTAAAAAAGTGCAAAATCAAAAACTTTTTAGCTTTCCAAACTTAAATTACTGTCATAACACAAAATCTTTTAAAGAAGTGATGAGTCGAGTCGACAACTTTCACGAGGGTGAATGACTTAATAATTGATAAACCTCTAGCTTCAGGCCAGTTATACATACTTTTGCTTGGGGAGTTCTAGTTGAGAATGAACACTATCTATTAGTCTATTACTAATAGCACTGAGTGTACGAGGGGTAAACTCAATTTAAATAGTTAATTACGGCACTGCTCTTGTTAAGCCAAGCTGGTCTCAAGATTTGAAACGTTTTTTCGCATAACTTTACAAATAAATATACACATAGTTTTGGTATTTTCCATCCTTACTACACCAAACGTATGTTCAACAATCCATACAATCGGTCTCATCACAGCCCAAACAATAAAAATCGCAGATAGTTAAAATTATAACTTAAAGTGTCAAGCCAAAAAATCTGAAAAATAATTTCAGCACATTACATTGAAAAGGCGAAAATATTGTCTGACATCTTGGACGCGTTGAAGGTTGCAGCAAAGCATTTATCTTAGGGCCAAGCTTAACTTAACTTGACTTAAGACTGAATTCAACTTAACTGGACAGTTTAACTTGAGTAAAATTTATTGCTGTAACACATCTGAAATATCTCCCAGACATTTGCCAGTTCAATGACGTTACCATCTCCCAGAGACGAATCCTACCTAGTTTCATAATGACCACTCATATTAAAGCCCACATGTTTGATTCGGCTCGATGTCACGCTGCCTGGCTACGCTCGGTTCTTCGTAGAAGCCGCAGCCGAGGTACAACAACCGTAGAGTTGCTGGCCTTGTCTGGAGGCGATGTGGCACTACAAGATGTACCGGCACCCAGCCTGGCACCTGTACACAACCCTGTGGTAGCGCTGGCACTACAAGATGTACCGGCACCCAGCCTGGCACCTGTACACGACCCTGTGGTGGCGCTGCATCACAGTATTGACCTGGAGAGATCTGTGTAGGTGGTAAGTCGAATCTCATCGACATATTTATTCAGTCACATATATAATATTTTTATCAGTTCAAAAAAACCGTTACTTGTAGCATATCAAAGTAAAGCTAATTTCATAACGAGTAAGAAAATTCAACCGGAGAAGGGCTAAATGCATTGGTATAGGAAACACAGAGTATTACAAAAATATAATTTTTTTCAAAATAACTGCCGCCATTTTGAAACGGAAAAAGATAATTAATTTCTGTTTTCGCCAAAATGTTTGTCTATCAAATACCTTTAAATGATGTATAACATGACATATGTCTGCATTTGAAAATTCCGAGATTCGAACTAGTGACCTAGTTTTTGGCACACCCTGTATTGGGAAAAAGTTAAAAATAGTTTTACGTTATTCCTTGGGGTCAATTTTCAATATTTCCCACTAAGGAAATAATTTTATTTCATCCTTGTACGTTAAGCCGTTTATCCGTTATCAATTTGAGACACCCTGTATATGGATACGGAATCAATAAGGTATAAGTTTATGGATATGGTTTCAATAACATATATGGATACAGATTCAAAAACATATATGGATACGGATTCAATAACGTATTATGGATAGTAGTGAGTGATGTGTCCATACCAAAATTTATCAAGATACTGATACCTGAAAAATCAATTCTCAATACTGATACCATTTCTATGATTTTTATAACAAATTTTCCAAATGGATTGGTTATATTAAACCAACCCCAGTGTTTATGTCCTTTCATTAAGTATTTTTAAGGTGTTGGGGTGTTTTTCAAGTAAAGAAAAAAATTATCCAGCAATGATACATTCCAACTAGCCAATTTAAGTTTAAACTAGTGATGGGCGGATCCAGGAAAATGTCGGTACCGGATCCGGATACAGAGTTTAATAAAACCTAATACTTACAGAAATCCAATTTAAATCATACTGTTTAATTTAAATTGGTAATGTTTAAAGGTTGATGTATTAAGATCACTGACAGTCTTGTATAAGGATACAAGTCTTGTATTAGGACACTGTTAGTCTTGTATATTGAAAAAATACTGTCCATATACTTTCTTGTATATGGGCACAGATAGTCTTGTATTTCGACACTGTTAGTCTTGTACAAAATGGACCAGTGGCGGATCTAGAACAGTCACAAGGTGGGGGGGGGACTGAAAAATTTGTGCAAACTAAGTCTCATAAATGGCAGTTTTATACCATTTCTTTGTCCAAATTTAGTGACAAATTATTTTACGCAATGTGTATGCACTACTGTATTACATGCAGTAAAAATTATATAGGTATGTATACCCGAGGGGGGGCAGTCAACCCCTTCAACCCCCCTCTGGAACCGCCACTGACATGGACACAGATACTAGATAGTCTTGTATATTGACACTGACAGTCTTGAATATGGACACTGATAGTCTTGCATATCGACACTAATAGTCTTATGTATGAATTGTACTTTATAAAGAACGTATTGTAAAGAAAATTAAAAAAAAGCCCGGATCCAGCCCTGGATCTGATGGGGTGTTTGTTCTAGCTCTGATCCGGCGGATCCGGTAGTCCGATATCTGGATCCGACCATCACTAGTCAAACCCTTCTAAACACAATAAAAACTACCATATTAAAGATAAATGAAGATCTAACAACAAAAATCAAAAAGAAAATTATATGATAGAGGTGTGCTGTCCTGTATCTCAAGCCATACTCGAAGTAATTATCATGAACATCTACCCTGGCCGTGTAGATGTCGTCATCATTATCGTCTTTCGCAGTCACGGAAATGTGACCGTCAAATTCCGCGATCATGGCAAAATCATGAAAACCGACTGCAGCCCTGTGACACCATCATTGATTCCCACCGTCAAGGAAACATCATCGTCGTCGTCCAAAATCGTGTCAAAATTATAAACATTTCCCGCGATTGTGTAGACTTGATCATCGTCTCCTGCGGCCAGGGAAATGTCGTCATCGTCTTGCGCAATAACGTTTATGGATACGGATTCAAAAACGTATATGGATAATGTTTCGCCCATGAATCGAATCGTTATTGTGATAATCACTCAATTGAATTAGAATTCCGATGCATTTTCGATGCATCCCACACCCCTCAAATGTAATCCCGTCCCAATGATTGGGAATACACTATCCAGAAACTTGTTTAACCCTCCAAGTGTCCATAGTTTAGGCCTTAATGTCCACCTATTTTTGGCGCATTTGCAAGGTTTTATTAAAACGGATCTGAGAAGCTTAAAACAATGTTAATTCTAATGTTCTATATACCATTTTGTTTGGAAAATCATGGGCTTCAATATTATATAAGGAACATTTTTTCAAAAAAAAATTTTTTAGGTAAAAAAAATATAATTTTGAAAATTTTCAAAAAAAAAATAAGTTCGCGCTCAATGAAATTGTATAAATTATAGGCCTATAAATATTTGAAAATAGCCACGTTGTTCTAAATTTTATGAGGATTACAAATATATAATAATATAAGGAAGTAGATTTGCAAATAAATAAGTTATGGGCAAAAAACAGATTTCAGTACATAGCGTTTAGCTAAGAATGCATAGCCTAACCATAGCTAGGAATCTGGCTGATAATTTACATCAATATCACTACCTACTTCTTCAGGATCATCAACCAGCACTTCAAAACCACTTAAATCTTCTTATAATGCACCACGTATATCACTACTTTTGATTTTTAACACTAAAACAATGATAAACGTAATAAAACACATCAGTCATCGGTCCGAGGGTAACCTAGCTGTTTACAAATACACGCACAGACGCACGTCAGCTGTCTGCTACAATTACGATCGGTATAGAGAACATACAGCGCTGAGACAGACCTCTGGAGAAAGCTTAGAATATTACGGAAAGAACGATACCTAACTCGATCCAGTTCAATCCGATTCAGTCAGTCATAGAGCCTTCGCCGTAAACGATGTCTGCGTGTCGAAAAATCGACAAGTAACACTACACAAAGTGTGCTGCTTGTCGAATTTTCGTCAAGTAACACTGGGAGGGTTAAAGTTTTGGGACCCGTTCATCCCTAATTTGAAGGGTTAGATTATCCCGACCCTCGCCCGAAATTCATTACTTTTTCACGACTTTTCCCGTCCTTTCAAAATCCCCGGATTTATCCCAACTATAAACACCCTGACTGCATTATGTCACATCCTCTTTCACTTTCTTCTCCCCTGTATTACATTTTTTAACCTTTAAAGTTTTTCCAGTCTACGCTTTATTTTTCAATAAAAGAAGTTTAAGGAGTACTGGCCTTGCCTCTGTGATGTTGTTGGTTGTTGGTTTCCGGCCGGCTAGCTTGGTGGGGGAGTGTAGCATCAGTTCAGTGTTTTGTTTTTATCTGTGTTTAGCTGTAAGATTGTAAATATAGCAATGTATTATCAGTTTTTCTTTCCAGCGTTTTATATTTTTCAATTCTTGTTTCATTATGCACTTGATATTTTTATTGTTGTATATGTTGTAAATATTTGTTTCTTCAGCAAGAATTTTTTTTGAGACTGGCCACCTTTTGATGGCCAATTTAGATTAATGTAGCATTAGTACTTCTTCACTTGAGGAGTTTATCCACCTCCAGAAACGTTGTGTAGTTTAAAACAAGACACGTTGGAAAAGTCCAATTAAATAATATAACAAGTTTAAGGATTTAGACAAGAGTAGTAAATGATAAAGCAAATGGACAAACAGGAACGCATGAGGGATACACACTTGTCTTTATTTTAAAGAGTGTTAAAAACAAACAACCGAGAATTGAAATAAAATTACATTACTTTGAGTTTAAACAACTAGGTACATATTCAAATTTTACTGTACAAACAAATTACATAAGCAGATAACATTACGTCAAAATGAAAATGACACCATTTTATTTACAGCCAACACCCTAACTTTGACAGCTATTTAATCTGTGATCCATAACAACATTTACAACATGGAATGGTACAAGTTGATCTATGTTACGTGTTTATATTTACAAATAAAAATACTGCCTACGACTCTAAGTACCAGACGATCTAATTGTAAATTAACACAACAGTTCTGAAGTAGTTTAATTGTCTTTCTTCATACGAGTACTTGTCATTCTGTATATGATGGAGTCACGACCGGGATCCATGCATGCTGTCACCACTGTAAACAAAGGTATTTAGAAAAATTACAAAAAGTAAAATTATCATGGATAAACGTAAATGTGGTAAATCAATATTGGTCACTATGATGTAATCCACTGACTAAAATCCATTATCTGTTATCGGGATTCATTATCAGGGTGTCAAACAGTTACCGTTTATCATCTGTGATCTTTCGCAGAAAGTAATGATCTAGAGAGTGTGTAGCTCTCCTAACAATCTAAAGGTTGCCGGTTCGATCGTGAGCTAAGTCAGAAAACTTTTCTATATTTTCAATCTGGACCTTGCTGTTGGGTGTTAAATAAACAGTCCTGGCTACAGAAACAGCCAGTAGGTATTTTACTCCATTTTAGAGTTACTGTAGGATCTAAAGAATACCTTCACTCTTGTGTCAAAGTACACTAGGGATGGACGGGTCTCAATTTTCGAGAATCAAAAAATCTCATTAGTTCGAGCGAGATTGACTTTTTCAAGACAAGATTATAAAAAAAAAGAACGCCTTCTAGAAGGAAACGCAACATCAACACGCTCCTATATTGCGGGTATTGCAGAGACTTTCTGAAGGAGTTTTTTAACTGTGTACATCTGAAAAATCGGTTTATCTGGTAATTCGTTTATCCATTATGACCCTGGTCCCGTCTGTACTGGATATAATAGGTTTTACTGCACGGTATACTATATCATATCACTAAGAACAGAAATAAAATAACACCGTACAAGCTACTAAAATAATTTTCATTTGTCTCTTATAGACTGTTTTCTTTGTGATACAGTATTTTTAGTTGGGGTGTACATGTTACAGTTTTGGTTTTACATTAAAGATGTATTACTTAAGTTCCTGTAAGCTTTTGTTATTTTTGTAAGCTTTTATGTATCAACCTTTGTAATAAATAATTAGTTATTGTACATAAGTTGTTTTTAGCGAATTTCCCTGTAGGGAAGTAGCTATTACCGTAGGTGGCACAGTAAGACCTAGCCCGGGACCGATTTACTTTTTCATTTTGATGTCCTCAGAGGTCAAAAACGCCAACTGTTCAAAATATTATGTATATATATATTAGGGATGGACGGGATTGAATTTTTAGTTCGGGACGGGACGGGACGGGATTTTTTTCTGTGAATAAAAAGAAAGTACTGTATTGCAGTTACCAAAAAAGACATACAAAATCAATTTTTACCATTTGTGGCACTGATCTATAAAAACCAAAAAATGGGTAACAATTTACAGGTACCTATAGAAACTTGTGACTCGCGGGTCACGGGGTGATCGTCTGTATGACTCACGGTCACGGCGCGATCGTCGTCATGACTCGCGGTCACGGCGCGATCGTCGTCATGACTCGCGGTCACGCCACGATCGTCGGTATGACTCGCGGTCACGGTGCGATCGTCGGTATGACTCCGCGGTCACGGGGTTATCGTCGGTATTACTCCACGGTCACGGCGCGATCGTCGTCATGACTCGCGGTCACGACGCGATCGTCGTCATGACTCGTGGTCACGACGCGATCGTCGGTATGACTCGCGGTCACGGCGCGATTGTCAGCATGACTCGCGGTCACGGCGCGATCGTCGTCATGACTCGCGGTCACGGCGCGATCGTCATCATGACTAACGGTCACGGGGTTATCGTCGGTATGACTCCACGGTCACGGCGCGATCGTCGGTATGACTTGCGGTCACAGCTCGATTGTCAGCATGACTCCGCCATCACGGCATGATCGTCAGTATGACTCCACGGTCACGGCGCGATCGTCGGTAGGACTCCGCGGTCACGGCGCGATCGTCGGTAGGACTCCGCGGTCACGGCGCGATCGTCGGTATGACTCACGGTCACGGCGCGATCGTCGGTATGACTTGCGGTCACAGCTCGATTGTCAGCATGACTCCGCCATCACGGCATGATCGTCAGTATGACTCCACGGTCACGGCGCGATCGTCGGTAGGACTCCGCGGTCACGGCGCGATCGTCGGTAGGACTCCGCGGTCACGGCGCGATCGTCGGTATGACTCACGGTCACGGCGCGATCGTCGGTAGGACTCCGCGGTCACGGCGCGGTCGTCGGTAGGACTCCGCGGTCACGGCGTAATCGTCGAAATGACTTCGTCTCCTGCGTTCGCGGACCTATCGCTCGCAATAACGGCATTATCGGCACTCGCGAAGCGGAAAAATCGCCGACGATCGGACCAAATCCCGTCCCGAAAAATTCCCGAGTCAAATGTAATCCCGTCCCGTTAATCGGGAATATTTTTTTCCCGAAAAATTCCCGAAATTTCGGGACCCGTCCATCCCTAATATATATATTTATATTTGTGTCCGTGAACGTGATAACTTGAGTAATTTTTGTCAGACTTTAATAACATTTGGTTTAAACGTGTAAGGCGGAATAAACTTGAATGAGTTCGCGAACCAGCATGCTCGGGACCATAGGAACAGGGTTTTATGGAGAAAAATTGGTTTTTCTCATTTTTGACCTTCAAAACACAAAATTTCCCAATTTCGCTCTAGACCATTTCAAAAAGTTTAAATAAAAACAAATAATTGAGTATATTAAAGAGTTATTGTACGGTTGTTGGTTACAGATCAAATAAAACCACTCTAAATTTAAAATTCCCATTTTATTCTTATGGAGAATATTTTAAAATATTGTAGTTTGTTAACAGATATATTTTGATAAAAGTTGTAAACATTTATTTATTTTATTCTATGCTATTAATAATTTACAAAAAAAAAAAAACATTATTAGCCTCCTTGTAGTAGCAGAGGTTAAACCAAATGTTATTTAAATAAATTTAATTTAAAATCAATTCAGGCAAATGAAAATTCGCTTAGTCTGCACGTTAACTGCGGTGGTGGTATTTAATAGTACTTTATTCTTATTTATTAACCATTGTGAAACTGCACAAACGAATAATTCCCGATATGAATGAAATCTGGAGTCTCGTCTAGAATTTTGATGAGAAAAAGAATCCAGTCTCGCCCATCCCTAAAGTACACTATGTTCCTATTAATCCTGATTTTCACTATGGCATGGATGCCCTTGTATCCTGGTGATATTTTCTAATAAACTGATGATGCCAACATCGTTATTATAACAAATCACTTCAATTTCAGCCATTACTCACTTGAAGTAGCAATTATGGACATGATGAAAGCAATGGTGAACCACAGAAAGATGTTGAAGAAGACTGGGTAGTTCTCATCATAGACAGGGGCCAGGTTCAGTTTAGCCTACGGGAAAAAGATAAAATTGTTTGTAGCAATTGTAAACATTTAAAAATCATGTTTCTAGCCCTTGAGCTGTTGGACATTATGCATCTATCTTTGTTGAGCTGTGACGGGATTACGTAAGTAATTCAGTCTTGCATGTTAACATTTACTATAATTGCTCTATAGCAAATTATTGTTGGTGAATTTCCCATATCCCATATTTCCCATATATAAGCTATTACCGTAGGTCTCATGGTAAGACCTAGACCCAGGACCGATTTACTTTTACGTACTATTGCGGTAGAGAACGTGTTAAAAAAAATGTGTTCTCACCCGATTTCCAACAGATTTTGAAGAAAAAAAAGATAAAATCATGACAGTTCCTGTTTAAACAAACTTTTCTATCTATTTATCTTTGTAACTTCTAGCTATATCAACTTGGATTTAATCCTTAATAGCTGTTACTGCAATGAGATAGAACGTTAGTAACTTTGTAAAAAAATTACGATTTTGTTCCAGAGAGAGAGAGTAGTTTGAAGCTTTTGGTAGAAAGCAGTACATTTTTCAAATGAAGAATTTATACCTTAGTTTGACTTCAGTAGTCCCATATGTCCAATTAGCCCAGGTGGTTAGGCTATATAAGAATGGATTCAATCCTTCTGTTACTATATGGAAAATAGTGTAGGCCCGTAATAAAAGTCATAATAATAATAAAGGTAATGTTAGCCCGTAGTAAAGTCACAACTTCAGCCAGTTCATAAGACTCAAAAGTATGTCGGGCGAAGCTGACGTGCAACAGCTAGTTTATAACATGAAGTTATTATAGGCTTACTAGTGTAAATTTGTTACTATTCTTGTGATCGATGGAGTAAATTGGTTTTACCTATGTTTCCATGTTGTGTACATGTTACTATGTGGGTTCATCAATGTGAACCCTTTGTGATGCTTTAGCATAAAATGATGACAATAGACTTATATCTGTGTAAGTTATAGTATTACAATTTTATCCGAATTAAAAAACCTCACAAACCATGTCACTGTTGTATCAAAAGTACTTACAGTTACCTCATCAGCAGCTCGTCTGAACCTTCTAGTGTGAGCCGCATCACTGAGCAGTACGAGCACGAGGGTCTGGAAACAAGTTAACATTGAATTGTCTGTCAGTGGCTTCTAGGCCCTTAAAACACATTCTATTAAATACAATTTTAGGTGGGTTGCTAGCCTAGTGGTTAGCGTCTCAGATTTTGGTACAGGAGGGATAAGTTCGATTCCTAGAAAATTCTCACAAAAATATGGGTTTGAATTGAACCACTTTACCCAAAATCTTTCGATCGCAGCAAAACTCGGGATGATTTCCTGCGGTCCCGGCAACGTCTGTGATGATTTCCCCCAATCACAGCAACACCCTTGATCGATCTCTTACAATGTCGGACATCCGTGATCCTATATTCTGATAGAGGCAAAACTCAATATGATTCCCCGCGGTTGCCGCATTGTCCATGATGATTTCTTACGATTGCAGCGACTTCTGTGATTTAATTTCTTACGATTGCGGCAAATCCGTGATCATTTACTATGATCGCAGCTATGTCCGGGATCATTTATTACGGCAACGCCCATGATAATTTATTAAGATCAAGGGCAACATCCGTGATTCGTGATAGTTTCCCGCAGTCGCGATTTTTGATGACGAAAAACCCTGGAAAAAAATCTTAAATTTTGTGTGGTTTTTTTTGGTGATTCCAAAATTCAAATCTTGCCTTGTTCCTTACAAAATTTACTTACAATTCACGATTTCCAGGTTTACTGGACACCTGCTATAGGTAAACATGAATTATAAATATTAAGATTACACAAACGTTTTACAGCTTAAATACAAGTATTAAACACAAGCAATAAAAGTATTTGAATTGTTTGTATTTTGCAACACCATTGGCAGTTGTTGGAGAATTCCCCATATAAGGAATAAGCTATTACCGTAGGTCTCATCTTACGACCTGGACCCAGGACCAATTTACTTTTTCATTTTTATTTCACCAGAGGCCAAAATCATTATCCGTTCATATTCATATATATTATATGTGGGTCCGTTAGCGCGATAACTCGAGCAAAAATTATCTAAATTTGATGAAATTTGGTACAAAGGTATTGTAAACCTACGTTTATTCAAACAAATTCGCGAATCAGCATGATCGGACTATGGGAACAGTGTTTTTTGTTTTTTTTTTTTGGGGGGGGGGGGTTATGGGGTAAATAGGGGTATTTTTGACCCTCAAAAGATCAAATTTCCCAATTTCTCTCAAAACTAGTTTAAAAAGCTTGAACAAAACAAATAATTTAATTTATTTGAATTGAAGTTTTTGTGTACGGTTATTGGTTACAGAAAAGATTTTAAAAATTGTAAAATTAAAATTACCATGTTAATTTTGTGGGGACACTGTTTATTCTTATGAGTAAACTGTTGTAGTTTACTTGTTTATGGATATATTTTGATCAAACTTGGTAAATATTTATTTTAAACAAAGCTATTAATATTTTACCAAAAAACACACTCATACCCTCCTTGTAGCAGCAAACCTAGGTACTTGTTAAACCTGTTATTTAAATAGATTTAAATGTAAATCCAATCAGGCAAATGGAAATTCGCTTAGTCTGCAGTTTTGCTGCGACGGGGGTATTATGTTTTTGTAACAGAATGTCCAAATTCTTGTTTTGATACATTGTAGTATGAGTAGCCTCCGGATTGTGAATAATAGCTAATGATAGTGGTTTAAATACCTTATTCTGGCAATCCAATTGTTGTATTCCACAACCAGTTTCAACCTACTAGGAGGTCATCATAAGGTGCGTACAAGGATGATTACTTCACATGAAGGTCGTCAGGATTAGGTATTTGGTCAGTATTTCAACAGTTTTTTACACTTACACATATACACGAACAAACACATAGCACGCACACACATACGGCCGATAAAATACACTGTCATCATAACCTCCTAGCAAGCAGGTTGAAACTAGTTGTGGAATACAACAATTGGATTGCCAGAATAAGGTATTTAACCACTATCATTAGTTTTGATACAGTCTAATGTCTCTTGCAACACAACATATTTAACAAATAGCTAAGTAATAATGTGCATCTTAGTCTGGAAGCGACATTGGTCGATTATTGTTACTAAGGCACAGTTTTTTAAACCAACAGCAACTGATGTAATCTCCAAATTTTACTACCTTGTTGTTGTAAGCCCGTTCAAAAACTTCCTTAGTCCTGTCAATAGCAGACACAACCATGTTCTTGGCTTCGTTGGCAGCCTCAGAATTGTCACCGTAGATGTCGACAATAGGGTGAAGGCCTCGCAGATTCAACCAGTACAGATCTGGCAAACCGTCAAGTGGAACTCCCTTCTCTTCAACCTAAATAAATACAGGAATTCTTCCTTATTTTGTCTATGATTAGTATCATAGTTTATTAGTTTGCGATAAGTTTTGTTTTCAGCTTGATTATAAGTTTGCATGTTCAACAACAGTAATTGACAACAGAAAAAATTCTCAGTGGCTCAATTGAAGCATTTTAATGATAATTTTGCATAACCAACCAGATCAATTGAGACCCAACTCCATCAGATTGGTCAAAGATCCAGATAATTAAATTTTTCAAGACATATTATATAAGGCACTTATATAAGATGACTTATTACCCACTGATCAATGTGTCACTATAATAGAGAACTTCATTGGGAGTCGAAGTGGAACAAAAACCAGTTTTTACTGAGTATTTTACATATTTATGTCTGTGACCAATCATTAAAAAAGAAGGGCAAATAAAGATTATATTTAAAACTAAAATTGAAAGACCAGAACTTCTTGGGCAGTTGTAAAGAAGGAGTTGGGTCACAATAAACAAAATAATGAGATACTATGGGTGTGTCTATTCCGATACCGATACCAGTAACACCAGCGCAATTGGAAAATTACCGCTATTGCCGCAAATGCGCAAGATGACAACGGCGTTTCCGTGACCACGTGAGATGTAGATGACGTCTACACAGCCGCAGGAGATGTTTATGATTCTACGGTGGAAAACGAGACGATGATGTCTACACTACCAAGGAGATGTTAATGATTTTGCCGCTATTGCGGATGAGCAATGTGTCTACACTGCCGCAGAAGTATCCATGATTTTGCTGCGATCACAGAAGACGATGGATGATGTCTACACGCGCAGAAGATGTTCAATGATTTTTCTGCGATCGCAGACGACAACGATGACAATTCCGTCGCGGGAGTCAATGGTGATGTCTACATGGCCACGCTCACCATTATCCGCGACCGTGAAAGTCAGTGATGATGTTTCCGTAATTGAGGAAGATATTTCGGATTTTGCAGCTATCCCAGAAGACAAAGATGACTACTGGCAATGATCACAATATTACCTTGAGTTTGGCTTGACTGAAAATGTCATTCGAGCACACCTCTATAATATCATTTTCTTTTTGATTTTTGTTAGATCCTCATTTATATTTAATATGGTAGTTTTTTCATGTATTTAGAATGGTTTTAACTTCAACTGGCTAGTTGGAATGCATCATTGCTGCATAAATTTTTTTCTTTACTTGAAATACCCCATTATCTCTAAATTAGGACATAAAGACAGGGGTTGGTGTAGTATAACCACCATTCAGAAAATTTGGTAAAACAATAAAAAAAATGGTATCAGTATTGAGAATCGATAAATTTTGGTATTGACACATCACTTTGAGATACCATATCATATTCAGAGCAGCCTAATAAAATGCCAATCTTTAAAAACTCTAACAAATGATTTTTATTATTATTTTGTTACTTAAGTATTTCAGCAGCAGTAGCTCCGAATAAGAACAAGGCATGGATGCTCATGGTTCATAACTCCAAAAAATAGCTTACCTTGTCCAAAACTGCCCTCCAAGTGCTGATTTGGCTGATAAAACCAGAGTCATCGTCTTCTTCTTCATTCAAGAACTTGACAGTTGGTCTGTTTGCTTTCAAACTGCCTTTGTTGAGGTTGATTTCGCTCTGCAAATCATTTTGCTTTCAAAGAGAAAATTCCAAATATTTGTTTGTGTTAATGTTAAAATCAAAAGAATACTAGCGCTTAGTTCAACAACAGCAAATTCATTCAAGATACGCTAAGGCCCGGTTCACACAAGCAACTTATCTAGCTGACTAGGTCAAATGGAGCCGTTCACACAGACATAGGGCAATGGCGATCGAGCCGCGTTTGAGCTCGGTATCGCAAACCATCGTCAGGCCCCGCTTCCCACCCACGTGTCGTGACTCATCGCAGCTAGCTAGTCACCCACTCCAGCGGCGTAGCAGTACACGTAGCCATATGGGAGCGTTCATGCGAGCGGTCAGTCGTCGCTCAGCAGCTTGCATTCTTCCCTTTGTTCTCATTGTGCGCCAGTGATGGATCCGAGTGGCTTTGATATCGATATTTTCATCGAATCGGTTAAGCAACTACATTGTGTCTTTGGAACACTTGTCTTTTGAAATATCATGATAAAGTTAAGAAGATGGGCGTGGGAGGAAGTTTATTATGTTTTTGTACTCAGACTTCAAATCAAAGAAAAATAAATTTAATAAATTCAAAAAATCCTCGTTGCTATAATACAAAATTATTTTTTGGTTACAATTTAGTATTTAGTTTGGTTTCCGTTATAGTAAAACAGCATTATTGATTGAAAGAAAATTGCATACAACTTATGGTAATTGTATAACAAGTCCAACAATACGAATAAACAAAATATAAATTGACTAGCTGTTGTACCCGTGCTTTGCAACGAGAAGAGGACACAAAATAGAAACATTTTAATCTTTACATCTGTTGCATGTAATAGTTACACATCTGCCAACGCTTTTAGAAACAAAATTCAACTTTTATGGCCTTAATAGAAACGTTTAAGATATGACTTTTAAATCTGGTAGTGGATACCACCATTTTGGTTTTGATTAATTTTAAATCTTTAAAAGCTGATATGAGAAAAACTGACAAAATCTTCGAATAAAACTTTGACATACATGATTTACCTTCATCTCCCTTAATTACATATCTTTCAATTTATTATTGACATTTTAAATTTCAATTTTGAAGTTGCAAAAATACTAATTATTAAATTTAAATGAAATTTTTTTAAAATTTTACTCTTCTTTATATTAAACTAGCTGAACCCGGCAGACGTTGTCTTGCCTTTGACTATTTATAATCCCGCGGGCTTTGCCCCGTTTAACTTCTTAATTTTCAAGATGATCTCGTTCGTATGGCTCAATCACGTCCTGGTTGAAGTTCGTTCGCTACGCTCACTCACCTTTAGGTTGGAGCTAGTTCGCTACGCTCACTCACCTTTAGGTTGGAGCTCTTCACAATAGCAAAACTAAGTCAGCTGTTATAAACTTTAGAAATATTGCTGTGCCTCATCAATATTCAATACTGTCTTTTGAAATATTAAAGAAACTCATGGTGGAAGGAAAAAACATAGGTGTGCTATTCCCGTCACATTCTGACGTCACTCGGATTGCAAACAAAAGATCACCTGATTGTAAATGTCAAATTTATCATGTATTTGTTTTTATTTGATTGTTATTGTTTTTATAATAATAAAAACAATAACAACCAAATCAAAACAAATACATATACTAATTGGACAGTTACAATCACGTATTTTAGTGTTGCTTTAATTAATCAATCTTTCATCAAAGCTGGCTCTTGGGGCCTGTGAATTGCGGAATATTGTCTCCTCTGCGTTATATAATGCGTTCAGTTAACATTTCCAACATGAACGATTTGGTCTGGAACTTGAATCTCATGACCAGATCACCAAAATGTGGCACAAAGTATGCCACAAGAATTTATTTAAAGTAGCCTCCAAATTCATACAAAACATCTATACATTGTAATTTTCATACTGTTTCCATGAAATCATATAAATAACATTATTTTCATAACTTAGACGCTTTTAAAAATCCAAAGCAGAGCCAAAGTTGATACAGCAATGGTTATAGAATCTTTTTTTTTCTATAATCATTGAAATAGTTTTAGAATAAATAATCCATGATAAAAGGTTAGATTAAAATAAACCTACCTCATAGTTATGGAAAATATTATATTTAATTTCTTTGTATCAGCTGTCTGAAATAGTGAAATATACAGTTTAGCAGTTCTTCTTGTTTACATTGAAATGTCAAAGTATATGTAAACATTGTGAGAGTATTCTCATTGCAGCCATGGAGACCAACCAATATTTACTTTTAAAATGTTCACCTCAGAACTGTTAAAGCCAAAGGGGCAAAGCCTACGGTCAGTATCGAAATGTGAATAGTCCTATAATGGTCCTTGGTATGGTAGCTATATTTTTGTAAAATTTAAGCCCAGTTGGTTCAGTAGTTTTTGCACCTATTAGTAACACACATACAGACAGACACCATTAGATTTTTATATAATAGTATAGAAGTATAGATATAGATATAGATAACTGACTGAGAGGTTTCTAAAATAATTTGATATTGGCCTATATCCTCTTAACAATGATGTTTTTTCAACCAAACTTTATATTAGTTTTATTGCTGGTTTGATAGGTGAATTTCATTATTCTAATGAAAATTTAGTTTCAAAAAACTTTGATGATTGTCTAAATCATCTTTATTGTCCAACACATCAGCGTAACAAAAACATCAGCCACTTATCATTGACGCAAAAACTTCAAATATTTACAGAAAAACATTGATGTATCGAAAACATCGTTTATCGATGCACATTCATTTACGTCACACCTGCGATCTAGTCCGTGGACTCCACGCTCGTGTGAACCGGTGTATCGCCGGGTCGCGAGGAATGCTAGTCAATGCAAGTCAGCTAGATAAGTCGCTCGTGTAAACCGGGCCTTATACAAAATTATCTCTCTAGACCAGACACAATAACAGCATAAGACTGCTTGTCTATCCATTCTACTAGACTAAAAAATAGTAGTAACCCAACACCCTAGTACAAGCATGACTACTAAGGTGAAGCACACATAAATGTTTAAGCCTTTATTTAAATTTATGCTCTCATGGATAGTTGATAGTTGCAAGTCGTGGGTGTGTTATGTATGTTATGTTCCTCTTGGTAGCTGACGAATTCATTTCTAGAACTAAAGAGTATTCCACCAAATTTCAGCCAAAAAGATTATTACATACAGCTCTTAAGTCGTCCTCTAAGTTCAACTCCACCAAGCTTTGGTTTTCTCCGTAAGGGTAGCGCTCCAGGATCTTGGATTCAAGGGTAGCCCAGATTTCATCCGATGGTGAATCAGCAACATACGGGAACTTGTGTCCGTCAGTGATCGGTAGTGACGCCACTCCATGAACGGCAATCACCACTACGGACTCGGCAAAGTTAAACGGACTTGTGATGTACACTCCAGGCCAGTCGCTCATCTAAACAATAACATAACTTAGTAGGCCTATTGAAAATGACTGACATGATGATAATGACTCAATGGGAGGGATTGTATTGGAAAGTTAACTTCAAACCCTTTGCCAGTCACAGCCAAAGAGTTACTGTATTCAATTCCATTATATTCTTTATATTATATTTCTTTCTTCTTCTTATAAGCCTAATACAGAAGGGTAAAGGTGTTAAACTGTTCATTAAACACCTAATAAATATAACTATTATTAATAAAGGATTATCAAAATCTGAATGGAAAGACAGTATTAAAATGATTGCAAAAGTGGTGCAAGTGTGTGTTCTCCACAACAGAAATCAGGACAACAACCGCTGAAGCCTGTGGCGAGATTGAAACCCTAGCACATGTGGCTTTTTTCCGTTTGGTGAACTTCTAAGAAACAAAAGACACCACAATATTAGAACTAGAAGTATCATAGAAAAATATATAATACAAAGAGATGTACATTGAAATGTACAAGTACATTGACATTTTATGTTCATTATTTATTTTATTTTATCTAAATCTGTTGACATATCCACTCTCATTATGGTTATGTCTATCACTTGTTTAATTATGGTGTGATCTTCTGGGGAAATTCAGATAGGAGAAAAAAAATTTAAAATGCGAAAGAGAACTATCCCTATTATTTTTGGAATTAAAGGAAAAATCCTGTAGGACTAAGAGTATTTTTTTAATCACAAAATTCTTACTTTTCCCAGTGTATACATATATAGTTTGATTTTGTACATACGTCAAAAGTTATCAAATTTTCCAAATAACTCTGATTTTCACAACTATAACAAAAGACAAAAGAATAGCCTTACATACCCTAGACATAGCACTTCCACCATTGAACATTCTCCATATTACTCTGGTATAAAATTTTAGCCTGCCTAGCACCATAAAGGGTTTGACAGATTTTTAAAGATATAAAACCAGTTTATTCCAATTGTTGTCAGATAAATGCTGCTACAAGATTGGGGACTTTTTTAATTAACTATTAGCATTTCAAATCAATAGTTAGTTGTAATAGTTGTACCATAAGTAATTGTAGGGGAGAAAGTGTGTACATATAGATTATTTATTGCTCTTAATAATTTAGTGCTATAAATATGCCAAATGTATAGTTATGTTTCATTATTGACTTGACACAATTCATGTATACAAATGTACTGTTTGAATAAAGGATTTTTTTTATTCGATTTGATTGTCATTCTCCGACGGTAGCACATGAAGAGTAGACATTTTGTTAAAATGGTATTTGTTCAATTTTGTTCAGATTTTAAAGGACTATAACATGCTAAATTTTTATCAAAATCGTTCAGGCCATTTTTGGGAAAATCCGATTTTACTGTTATTTTATGGAGGTTTTATGGGAAAATTACATAATTTACAATAACTTTTGAACCGTATTTTTACAGAAATGGGATTGGTACCATTTTGTTCGGAATAAAAAGGACTATAACATACTAAATTTTTATCAAAATCGTTCGGGCCATTTTTGGAAAAATCCTATTTTTCCGTTATTTTACATGGGGTTTTATGGGAAAATCCCCATTACAAAAAATTTCTAAAAAATTTAAAAAAAACTATCAAAACTGTTAAGGACTATAACATACTATGTTAAATCAAAACCAGATTTTTTTCTAAAATCCAATTTTCCGTTATTTTATGGGGATTTTTTTATAGGAAAATAACATAATTTACAATAACTTTTGAACCGTAATTTTTACAGAAATGGGATTTGTAGGTACCATTTTGTTCAGAATTTAAAGGGCTACAATATACTAAATTTTATCAAAATCGTTCGGGCCATTTTTGAGAAAATCAGATTTTTCCGGTTTTTTATGGGTTTTTATGGGAAAATCCCCATTAAAAATCAAAATTTCAAAAAAAGTGAAAAAAACGCCTGGAGATACCATGGATTAGAACCTACATACCAAATTTCATCGAAATCGGACCACAGGTGTAGGTGTAGTCCCTAGATCTGTACACATCCAGACACACAGAAATCACTTCGAAAACCACTTTTTTTGGGTCCAGGGGGACCCAAAACGAATATTTCCACTCAAAACTCAAACTCGAAAATTTTGACGAAAACAATACTTTCTCCATATACTATGGTATAGGGGGAGAAAGTAAAAACAAAGGGATAATTCTTGATCCAACAAATCAATATAAAATCAACCTAATGAAGTCATTGTGGAACAAACAAATTTATGAATCTACCTGTGAATATTTCAACAATATTTCAAAAATTGAGGTGGTTGGATTATTTAATGGTTCTAGAGGAACATTATCAAAATCCTTTGTGAGCTTTTGGAAACAATAGGATTTGGACAGATCCTTTTTGAAAATTACCATAGATGAAAGATTGCGATAGGTTATTGTTAAAATCAATTTTTAGCCCCTGAGCTGTGATATTAATTAAAAATAGGTCTACAGCCTAACCTACATACCACCTTAACCTTTGTCTACAGCTCAAACAGTTGAAACTTGAGTTACGGCTGTTTTGGCATTATAATGCCATCGTCAGACGTTGAACATTCAGCTGAAGTAGCGTCGTCACAGTTAAAACACATAACACGAATAACATTTTACAATTAACAAAAACACAACGAATAACAGGTCTATCGCACACGAGGTACGGGTTGACATTGCCGCGATCTGAACTGGATGCCGACTTTGAGACTGCATCCAGTGTGAATTAAAAATTCCCAATTTATTGTTATGGAGAATATTGTATAACTGCCGTTATTTTCACTCTTGTTTATGGATATATTTTGATCAAACTTGGAATTTTTTTATTTTATACAAGCTATTAATATTTTACTAAAAACACACACAGTTAGCCTCCCTGAAGCAGCAAACCTAGGTGCCCGTTAAACCTAATGTCATTAAAATAGATATACTGTATACAAAATATTGAAATAAAATAGCAGTCCGAGAGGCTAGTGTCCCAACACAAATCACGTCATTTTCGGCTCAAAGTGGGATGCTAGCCTCTCGGACGCCAGCTTCCTGGTATAGTCGTAGTCTTAAGTGTATTTATGTGTCGTTGGCAACCTTATTTTTTTAAGACAGATGTGTACTTTTATTAGCCTAATAAATTCTTTTTTGTCATACTGCAGCAAAAACAGCTGTTTTTTTATACATGCGTTTTGGGTCTAAAGTAGCATTTTTACTCCCTAGGGAGTAAAAACATTTCTAGTCCCTAGGGAATAAAAATCAGCTGTTGTGAAGTTGTAAATTTTGGTTGTAACTATTGCATGGATAACAACTATTTATCGTTTGATTTACTAGGTAGGCCTAAGGTTTATCTTTTTGTTGCATTGTTGTCAATAGTTCATATTGATGGCATGATTTAATGTAGCCTAAGGTAACACGATCGTAACAGACAAAAAGATTGAATCACTTACTAAACAGCTGCTTATTTACATCAAGTTAGCAGAATTCAAAACAAGTTGGAAGTTGCTTTGATAGGTTATCTTTAGGCCTACATGAAAAGTATTTTTGTTATCTAGGTTAGTTTGTTAATTAATGAGACATTATTACAATGAAATGAAATGAAATGAAATGAAATGAAAATGTGCTTTATTGTACAATTTAGAACATAAATACATTTTTACACAGACACATAAAAACAATGGTTAATAACCGTCTGTTTTGTTGGCACTAGAGTTGTTCCATTACTTAGATTAGAATAGTAGGCCTATTGAGCACTAAAAAGATTTATTAATATTCCTGAAATAAAGACATAAGAGAAAAGATATAAGAAAGAACGAAATATTATTACATAAGTGATAAAAAAACAAAAACATACTGATCCTAACTTATCTGTAGACGAGTTTCATATACAATTATTTAGGTTAAAAAGTTAAATTCTGTCACTATCTCCCATCTATACTTCCAAGCGTTTTCTAAATAACTAGCTAAAGCTCGCCAATTCCTCCCATTTATAAATTGATGATATTCTATTTCGTTTAAAAAAAGTTTTCCCAGCCACAAATGTCTTATGTGTTTTAAAATCGGACAAAGTGCAATAAAATGATAGACTGTTTCATTTTCATTTAGGTTACATAAAGAACATCTATAATTTTGATTGAGCCAAGGCTTGTAGTTCAGGTTGATAAGCTCTAATCTTGCTTTAAGAATCCACGAAATGGTACGAGTATTGTTGAGTTTGAGGGGACTCTTATCTCCAAGTTCAAGGTCGAGCGTGAGTAACTGGCTGTGATGGACGGAGGTGCGCGCTCGACCAACACACTCCCCCCTCCACCTACAACGTAGCCCCTCCGCTACCGACCTCAACTGTTCGCTAAGCTCCGCTAATCATCATTTTGAAAATTAATATTTATATTAAATTGTTGTCCCAGAAGCTTCCATTCTTTACTCCAAAATACATTCCTTGAAATAATTTGTTTAGCTAAAATTTTGGGCAATCTCCCTGCTGGTAACGTTAAACATTTCAATAAATAATTTAGGTTTACATTCAAAGTATAAAAGTATAACTTTTCACAGCATGTTTCCAAATATAATGCATAATTTGGTGTGTTAAAAGGTAAAGAGAATAATTTTTTGAGAAATATTTTTTGAACAAATTCTATTTGATCGCTTTCTATACATCCCCACACCTGAGCTCCGTAGCAGATTGTAGCTCTCACTACCGCTTCGAAACAACACATTTTAGATATACTGTATACAAAATATTGAAATAAAATAGCAGTCCGAGAGGCTAGTGTCCCAACACAAATCACGTCATTTTCGGCTCAAAGTGGGATGCTAGCCTCTCGGACGCCAGCTTCCTGGTATAGTCGTAGTCTTAAGTGTATTTATGTGTCGTTGGCAACCTTATTTTTTTAAGACAGATGTGTACTTTTATTAGCCTAATAAATTCTTTTTTGTCATACTGCAGCAAAAACAGCTGTTTTTTTATACATGCGTTTTGGGTCTAAAGTAGCATTTTTACTCCCTAGGGAGTAAAAACATTTCTAGTCCCTAGGGAATAAAAATCAGCTGTTGTGAAGTTGTAAATTTTGGTTGTAACTATTGCATGGATAACAACTATTTATCGTTTGATTTACTAGGTAGGCCTAAGGTTTATCTTTTTGTTGCATTGTTGTCAATAGTTCATATTGATGGCATGATTTAATGTAGCCTAAGGTAACACGATCGTAACAGACAAAAAGATTGAATCACTTACTAAACAGCTGCTTATTTACATCAAGTTAGCAGAATTCAAAACAAGTTGGAAGTTGCTTTGATAGGTTATCTTTAGGCCTACATGAAAAGTATTTTTGTTATCTAGGTTAGTTTGTTAATTAATGAGACATTATTACAAAACATATAGTTAAAAGTCACACGTGAAAGAGTTTCTTTTCAACCCCCGCTCATTTTCCGACCTCGGCTTCACCTCGATCATAAAACTTAAGCTCGGGTCGAAAAGTCACTTTACGCCCTAGTGATTAAATACTATTCTCTAAGACTTGGCATATTTTGAAGTAAGTATTTTAATCTGATTATGAATGCAAGATGGGTGGGATGGATGGAATGTAGACCTACTTCATTATCCAAACCTTACCGCATTACACAAAAGCTTAGTTCAGATTAATAGCCCCAACTCACCGGGTAGGTGGTAAAGCCAAGACTAGTAGACAATATATCCTTGACAATATAAGAGTCACATTCTGCGTGTCCTCGGAATTCCAGATTTGGAGATTTACTGACAATTATCACTTCCCCATCTCCGAAAACTGTACAGAAAAAATATACAAGTTTAGAAATATCATTTTTGCGCCTCACACAATGATCCAGGTACAAAATCAAACCAATATCAAGTACAATCCAATTTATGTAACATATAGAGGTGTTTCATCAAATACAATATTCATAGATTTAAAAAATATTACAACTTTATAAATTTTTTAATAAAATACATTTTTTTATTAATGGTCAATGGTTGTACATTCTAATTACTACTGCAATAGATTTCTGTTCTTAAGATTACTCTTATAAACACTCCTCCACTGGTTGAAAAAATCTTAGAAATTTCAATAGGCTAACAAGTTCAGGAGGTCCTATCTAAAATCACTAAGAATATAATTTTGTTGGTACTGACGTGGCTGGACTTATTTAATCTAGGCCTATAAAATAAAATATTACCAACTAGTACAGTATTATTGATAAAGAAGTTATTTGGCTGAATTGATAACTGTATTTTCGTAATAGTCAAAACCAGAAATTTTGAATCTCAAAACCCAAACGCAAAACTTTTTAGTTGCCTGGTCAAGGATAAAATGTTTACAGGACTGTACCATCAAAACTGAAAGAAATTGACTCCTGACTTTGACATAACATGAATATTTTTGTATACACTAAACTTATACACTATCAGAATTTTTTATAACTACAATTACTAAAATATATTAAACTACTTAATCTGATATTTAAATATGAGTATAAGATCAATTCAAACAATTAATAGTCAATATTTATTTGTGTTTGGTAAAATATCAATACAAAACAGTATTGTACTTATTGTCCCAGTATTAGTATTTATAATACCCATTGCAGTTCAGAATACAGTAGAACCCCACTAATCCGAACGCGGCTAGTCTGACTCCTTGCTTAATTCGACCATACCATCGCCTATGCCAGTGGTCTCCAACCCAAGGGCCTCATTAAAAAATTTTAAGGGAAAGGCCGTCATCTTTTCAGTGTAGAAAGGTAGCAACATAGACAAAAATAATATAATATAGACCGTCAGCTGCGCTGCGGTTACCAGTTCTGCCGCACACCACTTGGAGTGCCATGTAGTTACGGTAGGTATGTGTAACTACACAGCAATCCCAGCGGTGTGCGTCAGAACCTATGGTAACCGCAGCACGTCTGACAGTCTATATTTAATTCTTTTTGTCTATGGTAGCACCCCCTCCAAATAATCCACGTAGAGCTAGTTTTCTAATTAAGAGCTCAGCGATGAAGTTCACGGTTGTGAACAACACTGTTTTGACACACATCACTATGTAGGCTAGTACTAATTATCTTGTTTATATTGTTTCCAAAAACTTTACGAACAAAACTTTTAAACGGATTTGGATAAGGTTTGCATTTATAAACTGGAAGTAAAGCGAATAGGGATTTAAAATCTTGCAGCTGCCCGCTACAAGAATTTACTTTCATTCTTAACCCATTTATATATATAATTATTTTAATTTTTTCGACAAAATATTATATTCCTTGAATGATTTGATAATTACACAGTACATGCAGGTATGATTTTTTTAGTAGAATAACATCTTTTTAACAAAAAAAAATCCTAATTATATATAAAAATACTATACACCCGCATATGTAACTCACTCACTCACTCACTGGTGATACAAATGTTTACCCACTTCTAGAATAGCTAGAGATCTGAAATCTGGCACAATTAAAGGTCTTGGTCCCAAACCCTCAGGAAAATTCTTAAAAGGTGCATTTTTCTTATTTAAACCCCCCAAAATTTAGAATTTCCCCCCATATTATTCTTATAGGAAATAACATTGAAAGTTGTCACTTTTGTATGCTCATTTGAACCATCCAAAAAATCCAAAATTGGGGACATCTAAAAACGACAAAACAGGTTCTTTTTAAACGGCTATAACTCAAAAACGGTAAGAGCTAGACAAGATTTGAAACAATGCCGTTAGTCAGGAATTAAATTTTCTAAAAGATCCTTTAAGGCGTTTTCCGAAAATCACACCACTTCAACTCTAAAATATGCCCTTCTTTCAAAAATTGTTAATTTTCTATCAAACTTTTAATGGTTTTTGCTATTTATTCCTAACTAAGTTATTTGTTTTTACAAATATTATTAATGCTTTGTGTTTGCCTTAGTTTACTTTAAATTTTACACTTTACATGTTTTTTTGTAACTTTACTCCTTGATCCCTAAAACCTAAGTTTAATGTCAAAATTTGAAGGTTTCCCATGTTATTCTTATGGAGAATAACATTGAAATTTAAAGACTTTGGTATGATCGTCTTAATAGTTTAGAAACGTGCTATGTTATTTAAACTAGTTATATTCATTACCGGTATGCATTTATAGCATCTCAAAAGCATTTGGCATTCCTACCTTCAATTTATAAACAAACTAGCTTTCCGAGTCTCGATACAATTTTTGTTACACCCAAATGTACATTTACAAGTATATTATAGTCGAGCTGAAGTAATCTCAGCCTGAGCATTATTGAAACTCTTCTCAACAATGTCTAACTCTTCATCAGTTTGTAAGCTGTTTATCAAACATAAATACTGTGCTTTCAGTTTTTCTTTCTTTTCATCCAAAGACTCGATTTCCTGTTCACAGGTTACATTTACTTGCTCATCATAGTCATGTTCTGATGTAATTAAAAAATTTCCCTTATTTTGTTCAGTGCCGGTACTAGGATAATCACAAATCAATTCAGTATCACTAGAACAAATAATTTCATTTGTGTCACCGATTGTCTCCTCAAACGAAACAATCTGATCAGCAAAATCTTTGTCGTCAATCATTTTACACTCATCTTCACATTCATCGTCATTTGACACCCCAAGGGTTCTGGTATTCAAAGATTGTCTGATGTTATAAAGATCTTGTTTTGTTAAAAGATGAATTCGTCCAAGTGAGGATTCTGTTGTGGATTCCCTTACTTTATTTAAAATCTCATCAAATGGAACATTATTCGCAATATCCTTTGCGATAAATTTCCTCTCTTTTTCAGTCAAGCTTAAATAGCAAATGTTATTGTCATGCCCTATGTGTGTACTAACAAATTTAACTTTACACAATCCGTCTTCAGCTTCTATTACCTTAATGCTAGAGGGACATGTACCGTTTATCTTTTTACTTTCCTTAGGTCTTTTCTTTCCATTAGCATTAGGAACATAATAACCAGTACGATGGCATTTAAAAAATTGCCTTTTTGTATTATCAGCTCCTCTATAGATACCAGCTCTTTTTGGATATGTAACACATGTGTCCTTTTCCACCTCTTCTTTCCACTTATCAAACACAATGCGTGTTGGGAATGTAAATTCACTGACATTGATCCATATGTTGTGTGTAGTTTCAATATGTTTGGTAAAATCCTCGTTCACTGAGGTCGAGAATTCACATAATGGGCATTTCCAGGTTGGCCAAGTCTTTTCCCTTGGTAAGGTACAATGCGCCTCATGTTCGTGGCGTCTCAAATTTTTTTTGAACTTAAATTTTTTGTCACACAAGTTACAATGATGTTCTAGACTGACTTCATTCATTGTACCTAAGATCTTTTTTTCTTTGTACATGCAATTTTTATATAGGCCCTATTATTTTATATATATATATAAGTTTAAGCTGTCTGATATTTATTCTGTATTTACTTCATCATTTCCTCACCAAACTAAAGTCTATTGCTTCTGGCCTCAGACAGAAACCACGCTATAAAAAGGTTTCAAGACATTAACCTTAAAATCTGTATTGAGACTATGTACCCTCATAAAACTAGAAAAAAATAAAGGTTTTTTAAAGCTTTGTTTGAAGACTTTCTTTAGGGGATACTACTAACAGATTATTTAAATAAATTTGTACCTATGAAGCTTAACAAAATAGGCCTAAAACTAAGACAATCTGTTTTAAATTCAGAGCTTCAAAATTGAAAATCAACTTAACCAATTTAGACTAGAGCTAATTACCATTATAATGGTAAAACTATTCAGTAAAACTCTCACAATAATAACACAGTGTGCTTCAAAAATATTTTCGGTACACAATACACACAGGCACAGTGCTGTGTGTAGCCTATGTTATCAAAGATTGTAGGTGTGTTGCTAGCCTGGTGGTGAGTGTCTCGGACTTTGGTGCTGGAGAACAGGGTTCGATTCCAGGCACATTCGTAACACATAACTTATGGACCGCTTTCTCTAAAAGCATTAATTGAGTTACGCTGTAACTTATCTCTCCTCTAAAAGTACCCAATATTGTCGACATCAAGGAAAATAAAGACAACAACAATGAGAGACTTGAATAAGTATGCTAGGTAATGAAATAACTTGGGAGCAAAAACCAGAACACTGAACTTAAAACAAGTTAGTTTTTGTGGAAAGTACGCTACCGGTACTTATGCTCCTATCACAATAAAGGACCTGTAGTCATCCACCGAAGTGGTCAGGACAGTACTGGAGAGTATATGGCAATGTCGGTGGTTGCGACTAGACCCAACTAGGCCTATATTAACTTAGGTAGCCTACCTAATGATTTTTTTCCCAATTTAGCCGCCGCTTATCGTTTGATTCATGACGAAACGAGGAAAGTCCTACAAACATATTTATGATAACCCAACCTAACATAACCGCCGCAGCGCGCTGTATAAGCGTGGCCTCCTGATAATACCAAAGTAGGCTAAGCTATTTTATTAGGCCTACCTATTTTGATGGGATTTTTTTAATTCCTTTTTTGGCATTAGCCAATATATTTTAAGTTAAAATTAGGTAACCCGAGTGGTGTCTTCGGTCGGTGAGTCCGATGACGTATTTACTTAAATTTTAGTGTGTAAATATTGAGGTGCAGATCAACGTTCCTAAGACATTGAAATGATTGAGAATTGAGTAAACCTACCGTATTTTTTGTCTCTGCAGAAAGATTTTCACACTAACTTATTGTTTACAAGAGAAAATCTAGTTTCTAGTGATATATAAATTAGGTCGGCCTAACATAGGCTGCTATAGGCCTACTTACGTTGCCTATGGTCACCCTATTATGCATAGGCCTAATTACCCAATTAAGTGACAACTATTCTGGTGGGTTTTGTTAGGTAGCCTACCCAAGTAACCTAAGTTAAGTTAGGCCTAACCTTGACCTAGGCCTGGCACTAGGATGATGACACAGGATTGTTTTAGTGGTTTAAAATTAAACAAGTTAATCGGCTGAACAATTACTTATTGATTGAGCTCAAGTTATGATTGTGAAATCAAGCCCTCCATTATCGAAGAGCAAAGTAATTCAAATGGCCCTGTCCTCTTTAGGCCTAGTATACATTCTACAATGTTGCCTTTATGGTTTTGACGTTTGTTTGGTGATAGAACTTAAATAGGATTTAAACTTTAAAAAGCAAACGTAGGCTCAAGTGAAATGATTTAAACAATTTCTTAGATGGACCTATCCATTTGCAAACTAGGCCTAGGCCCAGGCCCATAGGAAAGATAAGCTATAAAGTAGATAAGTTAAACTGTATCTTACCTCCAACTGAAAATAACACATTAAGAATTACAACCAACTTCATAGCTATATTAATCAAGGGTACACAGTCTCAAATATGTGGTGGATTTTAAGGTAAAATTATAGTGATTAGGGAAGTTTATCCTGAATAAGTCACCAACTAACAGGCTAGCTAAGCTAAGGAAGGCAGAAGACAATTACAATTTCAATGGGTCGGGGCGGGGTGTGGGAGGAGAAGAAGTGGTCAGCTGATATGTCATGTGATTTCACTGATTTGCCATGGATACGGGTAACGGTCGCGATGGGGGGAGGACTCGTAGTAGGACGATGACGTCATTAATTAGTTCAAATTTGCTCCACAAGCGGCGCGCCAGACGGACCCGGGATGAAGATGATGACGTCACCGTTTCTCGCGACTCGCGAGCGGAGAGAGCAGGCGTAATCAAATTCGTCTGCTACTTGATTTGTCAACTGTTGAGTTAGGTTAAGAAGCATTAATTTACTTGCAATAAGGTTTTTTGTAATAATCAGGCCTACAGTTTGATTAATTAAGTTAAGTGGATGTTAGAACGTCAGTTTAACTCTTGAGAGTAATTAAGTGAACATAATTTATCGATGTAAATTAATTTAATAAGTTAAGTTAGCTCTTAAACTCAAGTAAGTTAGAGTTAGGCCTTAAAACTATTTTAACTGTGGGTGTGGGACATTTACATTAGTGAAGATATGACACTGTGACAAAACACCCTTAAATTTTAAATGATGTATGCATAACTTAGGGCCTAACGATTTCATTTCAATAACATCCAGTCAGTAACTTTAGTTGGTTACACTTAGAGCTATCCCAATTAATTTTGATAACTACTTGGCTGTAACCAGTAAAATAAAAATACCCCCGCCGCAGCAAACCTGACGCCTAAGCGAATTTCCATTTGGCTGAATTGATTTTCAATTGATCTATTTAAATAACATTAGGTTTAACGAGTACCTAGGTTTGCCGCTACAAGGAAACTAATAAAGTGTGTGTTTTAAGTAAAATAATTATTGCTTAGTATAAAATGAATATACTGTATTTGCCAAGTTTGATCAAAAGATATCCATAAAGAAGCAAACTACAACATTTTACAATATTCTCCATAAGAATAACATGGGAATTTTAAATTTACCATTTTTTTTGTTTTCTCCGTAACCAATAACCGTACAAAAACACTTTGATATACTGAATTGTTTGTTTTTTTTAAGCTCTTTAAGAAGGTTTAGAGAAAAATTGGGAAATTTTGTGTTTTGAGGGTCAAAAGTGAGAAAAACCAATTTTTACCCCATAAAACCCTGTTCCCATGGTCCGATCATGCTGGATCGCGAACTCATTCAAGTTTATCCCGCCTTACACCTTCAAACCAAATTTCATCAAAATCGGATAAAAATTACTCAAGTTATCGTGTTCACGGACACATATATATATATATATATATATATACATGTATAAAAATTTAAACGAGTGGTGTTTTTGGCCTCTGGGGACATCAAAATGAAAAAGTAAATCGGTCCCGGGCCTAAGTCTTACCATGAGACCTACGGTAATAGCTACTTCCCTATAGGGAAATTCGCTAAAACTAGGTTAACATTAAAAAACAAGCTCGAAGCCTTTGAATTAAGGCTATCTAACTTAGGCCTAGCTTAATCATTTGAGTTGTTAACAAATCAGTCGATAGATAAATCTAAAAACCTTGCCTTCTTGGTCAGAATTGATCTGAAACTAAGATGCCAGATATAGTCTGTGGAAATACTGTAAGTTAGCATCTAATGTTCTAATAAAAAGCAAGCCTCGACTTGAAAACTAGGTTTGCTTTTATAGCAGTGAAAACCAGTTGAGCGTAGCAATCATGTTTCATGGTTTTTAATGAAACAATAAATATAAAAAAATGTTTATGGATATAATACAAAATACAAATGTTCCCACACACTGCACTGCTATCCTTTACTACTTCCTTCAGCTCTTCCTACGTCGTGGACCTGTTTCCCTTCCTTCCCATGGCATTTTAGGATAGCCGATTCATTAATCTTAATGCCACAAACGGTTCCCACACTCAGCACCTTTACTACTTCCTTCACCACTTCCTACGTCGTGGACCTTCTCCCTTCCTTCCATGACCTTAATGTAACTGCCACAAACGGTTCCCACTCTGCACTGCTAGCCTTCACTACTTCCTACCTCGTGGACCTAATTCCCTCTTCCCTCCCTTCCCATAGCATTTTAGGATTGCCGATACATTAGTCTAACCAGGGCAGCGTTAAGGGTCAGTGAAATTCTGGTCAAACCCAAAAGCAGCGCCCCCTTTTTTCCTAGTGCGGGCGGGCGGTGGTTGGGGGGCACCCCTAAACCTCCGGTGCCCCTGGGCATATGCACAGTCTGCCCGTATATAAAAGCAGGCCTGAATCTAACTGACACAAAGGGTTCCCACACTCTGCACTACAATAGGTTGGTGTGTTGCTACAGAAAATAAAATGAGTGTTTTTTATTCAAATCTTGAACGCTTAATATGAAATAAACAAATTTGTCAAAACAAAAAAGTAAATCGGTTGGTGGTCTAGGTCTTATCAAGAGACCTGCGGTAACAGCTTATTCCCCATTTGGAAAATTCACTAAAATTAGGTGTAATGGCGGAGGCCGTATTAAATAAAAATAAGTAGTTTTTTAAACGATAAATACTTACCTTATACCATTGTCTATTGGATAATAGTCAAAGCTTATACCTAAATATTGAGAACTAACAGTACCTAAAATGTGCTGTGGTCAGGGAAATTAACAGAATTCCGTCAGGGAATTCTGTTAATACACTCACGTCACTTAAGATATTTTTGTGGGAACCCAGTTCAAATACCTTGGGAATTACTGGTAAAAGACTTAGGTCGGTATGAACTTACCTGTTCAAAGAGGCTTCCCAGGATTTGGGATGACAATTGATTGTACCCTTTTGAAATGAGCTGGTACATATTCCAGTCTTAACATTGTATTAAATAACATGGTAAAAACTTAATTCCTTTTTGTGGAAGCTCTATAAATATTTTGCCAGTTATGAGGTTGTAACCAGGAGCCTTGTCAGAATGAAGATCGTTGACGATGATTGATTTCACCTACGATGATATTTACTTCTGCAATGAGAAGTCAAGTTGTAATGGAGACTACAAATACTCAAATATCTCTTCCTCGTTGTTTACTTCTGCATTTGATTTAAGAACACATCCTCAAAGTATTGAGCAAAGGCTTCTCTGTGTTACATTTGGCCCAGGCAATTAGACTTTAAAAAAAAGTTAATTTAAAGCTTAGGTCGTTTCATAACTCACCAGGAAATGCAGGCTCCCCCGGTGAAACAAGACGTCGCGAAATCTGCCAACTTACCAATATGGGAGCCGTGTTCGCGACTGGAATGCTATCCACCCCCTTAGCAAAATATGATGCTATGTAATAGTAATTTTTAATTTGGGTAATTCCGTTTGATATTAGAACAGTTTGACAACGAAACTTGTGTTTCCGGTGACTGGAAAACTCTCCCCCCTCCCGATCTCTGATGTCAACATGACGTAGGAACCTGCTTGGGGGGGGGGGGGGGGTAGTTGTCCGGGGGACAGTCTTCCGGTGACCCACTCCCCATAGTGAATAATCTTAGGCTTCGCCATAGGTGATAGAGATCGGGTACTTCTCACTGATGTACTTCTCATACCAGTGATTATTGATATTATATAACAACCGCTTTAAATGTTAAGATGACCTATTAAAATGTTTATCAATTGGATTCCTGCTATTTTGCCAGATTCTTCTCAAAATATATCCATAAGCATTAAGCAATCAAACTACGTAAAACAGTTTAGGCTACTTACAGTATCCTCCAAAAGATTAAAAAGGAAATTTTGAATTTTTTTTTTCTCCGTTACCAATAATTGTACAAACACTTTAATGTACTAAATTATTTTTATATTTTTAAGCTATTCAAAATGGTTTAGAGAAGAATTGGGAATTTTTATGTTTTGAGGGTCAAAAATTAGAAAAACCCCATAACACCCTGTTCCCATAGTCTGATCGTGCTGGTTCGGGAACTCATTCAAGTTTATCCTGCCCTACACCTTCAAGCCAAATTTCATCAAAACCAGACAAAATGACTTGAGTTATCACGTTCACGGACACATATATAGTTGTTATATATATATAACAATTTGAATGAATAGTTTTTTTGGCCTCTAAGGACATCAAAATGAAAAAGTATATCAGTCCCGGGTCTAGGTCTGATCGTGCCACCTACAGTGATAGTTAATTCTCTTAATACATTCGATATGCTTGATAGGGTCACATAAATATATCTTAAGACTAATATTTTCTCACTACTTAAACCAAAAATAGCAATATAGGCCTACCTTGGACAAATTGTAAATATTAATCAATTGAAACAAAAGAGTTGTTGAAATATAGTTTTATTTATAAAACACACATATTTATTTTCCAAAGCTAGCTTTTAAAATTTAGGTGTTAATTTTGTAAAGTAAAAGAATAAATTGTTAAATTAAAAATAACTATTCTTGGTCTTTGTTTCCAAGTGTTGGGTGTTGCTTGGCTCCAGAACCAGGAATATTGTCCCATTTGTTCCTAAAAAAAATTGAAAAACTATAGTACAATATGGCAATGTACATTGTTGTAACAATATTTTTGGTCTGTAGACTGGCATAGATTTAAAACATTGACAAATTGATCGGCTGTTGGCAAAATATTTTTCCTATACAGTTACCTAACAATGTGCATGTTCTCTCACTGATTTTAGAAAGCAAAGTGGCCAATTCGCTCATCAGTGAGACAATGTTAACATTGTCTCACTCTAATTACTTTGTCTCAATCACTCCAGATTTGCAACGTGAAGGCACGAAATAGTGAGCGTGTAACATGCAGACAAGGTCGTATGCGCGCAATATACGTTGGCAGCACTGGCTGTAAATCAGCTGGTCAGCTGTTGTATCATTAAATGTAATATTAAAAGTTCACTTCTGTGTAAAAATATGTCACGTTTCTTTACCATTTATTTGTTTTATGGTAACTGTAGGAAAAATATAATGTACAACTCGAGTACAAAGTGCAATTGCCTCACTCGAGAAACCATTCCACACTCGCCTACGGCTCGTGAGTAAGTATTTCTCTCGAGTGAGTCA